AAATATGTTAAAAAAAAAACTTATGAAACAGCCACAAATATTCCCTGGAATCTCTGTGGCTGTTGCTCCAGATGGAGAGTCTACTTATGTGAGGAAAATGCTCTGGATTTTTCTCCACATCTGCTATGAAGTCCGATCCCTACAGCAGTGTGTGCTGAGCACCACCTGCTGGTCCTGAGCACCCTGCAGGGAGGTTTGTGACTGACGTCTGTTCACTGTGCTATCTACACAGTAGTACACAGCTGTGTCATCTTCAGTCACAGAGTTCAACTGAAGGGAGAACTGGTTATTAGCTGTGTCTCTGAAGATGGAGATGCGGCTTTTGAGGGCTGGGCTGTAGCTGGTGCCACCATTGTAACTTATGTACCCCATCCAATCCAATCTCTTTCCTTGGGTCTGACGGATCCAGTTCCCCCAGTGACCACTGCTGGTGATGGAGACCCCAGAGACTGAGCAGATGAGAGACAAGGTCTGTGAGGGCTTCACCAGGCCAGCTCCAGACTCCTGCAGCTGCACCTGGAGCAGCACACCTGGGGACAAGATAACCTTATTAGTCACTTACTTTCCTGTCCTTCCCATTGACCCATGTCTAACATTGAAGACACTCACTTTGGAAACCTGTCATCAGGCACAGAATAAGATGCAGAAGTTGCATCTTCACAGAGACACCACAGCCTTCCCTGAAACAATTTTACAACACAGAGGCGTGAGTTCTGACAGCTGAAGAAGGGAATTTGAAGCTACAGTTGGAGGGTAAATTTGCATGTGGGGAGTTTCCCTCTTAAACAATGGAGAAGGAAGGGAGACAGCTCAGTGTCAAAAGAGCTCACCTTGCAAGGGCAAGTTCTTGAGTTTGATACCCAGTGAAAAAAATAAATAAAATAAACTTTACATGATTGAGAGACAGAGATGTTTCTGGATCTTTTATGCTGCTGAGAGGAACCTTTTCTCCTGAACTGCTGTTTGTCTCTGTGACCAGTGGAATGTAGATGTCAGAGCATGGTAGGAACAGGGCAGAGGAGTTCTCCTTCCAAGTTCTGCCTCCCTGCAGCCACTGCTCCCTCCCGTGTTCCAGCCCCACTGCTTACCTCCCATCCAGGTTTAGCTGGTGCTTCCTGATAACTGAACTGAGCACGCTCCCGCTTTCTCTCCTTGAAATCTCCTCATGGAAGCCAGGCATGCCACCTGAGAGCTTGCTTCACTGCCACTTACTGTTATCATGAGAGATCTGCCTGCCTCCTGCTGTCATCAGACCCAGAAAAAACTGGATATAAAGATGTTTCCTGCACTTATGACAAAGAGATATTTCTAATCACTGGGGAAGATGAAGAGCCCATGTGTGTTCCTAGATGATGCTGTGCAGTTACTCTGTGTTCATTCCCTGTGCAGGCTCACCTTTTCCTATTGTCTGGATATCATTTCTAAACTCAAGATACTTTACAATTGACGTCCTTTGGAATAATTATGCATTGCTATCATCATACACTTGATAATAATCATAATTATTCAAACCTTATACAAATTTTTTAATCATGTTGTTATCATGTTCAGTTTGTTTGTTGGTTTTAGGCTGCCCTTTAATTCAGTAGATAGCCCAGGCTGGCCATAAATGCACAATGGTCCTCCTGATTCCACCACTAGGAACCTGGGTGACAGGTTTGGACACCCTGCCTCAACCAACTACTTCTTCGTTAATGTTTTTTTTTCTTTGTTAATGTTTTGGTTTGCTTTTAAAGCAAGAAATTATAACTTTGTGGTTTACACTAACCTTGACTCAGAGACTGTCTGTTTTAGTCCTACTTTTCCTGGAAATATGGACATTTATTAGTATCACAAGCTTCTATTAGCACTCTTCTAAATCAACCTTAGAATATGTTTTAGAGATCTCTCTGTCTTTCTTATGTTTTTTTTCTTTCTCATATTTGTATTCATATTTTAATGTGATGGGGATTAATGAAACAATTAAAAAAGACATTTTCTCCCAGTATTGAAAATTGAAATATGTTTCACATCTTTATCACATGTAATATTCTTGAAGCAAGACATTCACTCTTAAGAGTCACATAACTTCTGAACTACAGCAAAATAGTCAAATCTCACCTTGTTAAAGGAAATCTTCATGAGCATCTTGATGGAACATTTCCAGAAGTGTGTGAAGATGAGTCCCATTATCACAGTCATTTCCAATTTAGAACACAAAATGAGCAATAATGGATACTGGAGCATTTGACTATGTATTGATGACCACACAGGGTATATGTGATGTCACAACTGGAAAATACTGATTCTCCTTGGAAAATTGCTCAGAACCTGAAAGAGGTTCCCTGCTTTTCCTGCAGAGCCACAAGGAGGAGGGATCCTGCTTTGCCCAGTCTGGCATCTGTGCCTGGTTTTGAGAAGAGATGTGATACCCATCCTGTCAGAGTTGGGACTCTTGGGATATTTCACATCTACAGATCTTCCTTGGGAAGAATAGGGCTTTTTCTGGTATTTAGGAGGGTGACACCCATGCCTGACTCCTCCGCAGATTGTGGCCTGAAGTATTTTCATTGCTGATGGTTTTGTTTAAAACTTGCTTTAATGCATGTCTTCAACATTAGTCTCTACTTCCATTTCAGGATTATGCAAACTGCACAAAGACATTAAGAGTGGAGAAGGATGTTTGGTGCAAAGAACATCTTCACAGCAATGGTTTACACTAGGTTCTTTACAAGATCCACAAGACAGTCATGGATCACACCCTATAATACATGTTTCCCATGAACAGTAGATCACATTAATAGTTATTACTTTTACATTTCTTCAACCCATGAGGAGAAATTATAAAGCATTTATTTATAGATATGCTGATCCCACTGTGGAATAACTGGAGAAGGCAGGAGTTTAACGTAGGCTCTTGGAGGAGAGTGTTTAGTTCTGTCAAGGACATGCATTCAACAGTTCAGGTGTGCATCTAACAGATCAGTGAGCTACTTGGAAATCAGCCCCTTTGTGCTACGTTAGTGTCTGCAGATGAACCAAGTGATTGTGGCACCCACACCCAGAGCTAATGAAATGTGCTTTTAGATAATACCTGTCGAGTGATTCTGGTAAGTACTACATGAACAAGTTTTCAATCATATGCCATAATGATTATTTGCAGTATTATTTTAATGACTGATAATATAGTTATGTATAATTCCTAAAAATATAGCTTTATTAAGGGTATTATCAGTATTTTATTCTGTAGGAATAAAACATATATCACAACATGATTACTAGGGGCTGGGGAGATAGCTTAGTGGAATAAGCCCTCTCCTGGCAAGCTCAAGGGCCTGAGTTCAATCTCCAGTTCTGAAAAAAAAAATTATTATTATGTAAATGTAGCATGACTTTAAGGTAATATGTTATCAAATATCTGATGTTACAACATTTTGAGACTCAAAATTATCATTGTTGAGAGGTATTTTGATGTTTGAAACTACATTAAATTTATTAATGCATAAAAGCATTTAAAAATAAAATGACTGAAGTTAGCAAATAATGCGTGCAATATAATTTTAACTTTTGTGATGGCAAAATCTGTAATGTCCTATGTTATTCACTTTTCAAGAACAAAACAAGGTCAATAATTTCTGACATTGCCAGTTAAACAGAAGACCCAATGCTATTATGGGCTACTGGACTCTTTTAGAATATTTTGCTGAGTTTACTCACCTATAATATTCAAATAACAGACCTTAGGAAAAAAAGGGTATACAGATGAATGTCCATTTTGTATCTGTGTATTTAAAGTGGTTAGGATAGATATACAGTTACATTCTCTTAATGAATAGAATGATTTGTTCTAATGGTGTTTGTAAATAGGATCTCAGGTCCACATCTTGTACAGCAATTGACCATTAAGAAGAATATATGCAGTGTGCTGGTTATTGAAACTGTCCTACCAATCTGATTTGAAACTGTCTCATTGCTGTTTATCAATAAAATTATGAAAAAAAAGAACAAAACAAAATGACTGCTGAGCTCAGCCACCAGACTGCAATGTGGATTTCTAGGAAGCTGTGAAATGAAGATTCAAACTACCCAAGGCTGAAACACACTGTCATCTGAACTGTGAAGCTATTCAGGAACATTTCAAACACACCCAAAGAAACATTTTTCAAAATGAAATACAAATAAAAATTTCAATGCTTATTTACACTTTGATAAAAGTTTTTCAATATTGTTTGTAGAAAACTATATACTTATAGAATCTTGTGAGACACGTCATTTAGAAATGCTAAGAATCAAACATGAACCAAACAAAATCTTGAGGATGTAAGGGCTACAGGATGTGTATTTCCTGCTAATTGGAGTGAAAAATTGTCCTTCCACTGTGAGGGCTCTCCGGAAATTCTTTATGGATGTGAAGGCAGCAATGGACAATAGAACGTGATGTGCTCACAGAACTGATGTGAGTATGATGTTCTCGTGAACCTTCAGAAGATGCTTCCATCAGCTTCATCTCCAGCTCTCTCCTTGGGATTAACATGGCCCATAGGCACATCTGGGACCTCTGCAGAAGGCTTCTAAACAGGAAACATTTGAACCATCAGTATTAGTCAACTGTGTAGTGCAGGCCCCATGAGGATTCTCAGGAAAGACCTCAGCAGCAAGCTTGGCCCACTTTACTCCTCCCAGGTGCTCTACTCTCATACACTTCTGTCAGGGCCTCCACCCCTTGCCTGCCTAAATGGCCACATACAACCACAAGGCAGCACAAGGCAACTTCTGGTGATCACCTGAATAATTTGGACACACATAAATCATGTGGTGAAAGCATGTCAGTAACCATTTATCCAAACCCACAGAATTGGGGACTTGCTTGTTAGCTCAGTTGTTTAAGCTCCTGCATGGGCAAAGCCAGTCAGGCTTGTGGGACCACGGCTCAATCTCCAGCTCCACATGCCATACCACACCCACCATTAAGGTAGTCTGAGTCAGTCACAAAAGCAATCCTTCCCAAACCCACAGAATCCACAGCCCAAGGAATGAAACCATGTTAGCACTATGATCACAGAAGGTGATGGTGCCTCACTGTGGCCCCAACAGCTGAGACAAAGAGGGATTGGAGAACATGAGACTGGTAGAGGGGCAGGTTGTATATGTAATAGTGAGGGAGCTTCCTGGGAAATCTCTCTATATTCTAACCAACTTTACACTGAATACAAAAATGCCCTACTAGTAAATTCTTCTAAGTAGACGTGGCAGCAAGTGTCTGGCCATTTTGTACAAGGTAAAGAAAACATTGTCACATGATTGTGAAACATTGCCCTCACATAGTTCTCAAAATGTTTTGAAATTCAATAACATCACAATTAATGAATGTATCTGTTCCCAATAAATTTAATTTGCAAATAGATGCATTACAAAAAATTTTACATCCATTGATGAGCTCAATATAATGTAAAACATGGCAATGGTCATCTTCCTGTCTTGAACAGTATCAAGATCATGTTTCCAAGAATTTTAGATCAAATGAGGTTTGTGAACACAGACACCAATTTATGTCCTCACAAATATGTTCTGTGAATTGCTTGTGTACACCTTATTAGTAGGAAGATAAGGTGTCTTTCTTCCCTGTATTTTACATGGGGGGTGTGTTTTTTTAGTTGCTAGAGCAAAACACCTGATAACCAAATTTAAAGAAGCAAAGGTTTATTT